GAAGAGGACTTGAAGCACTTACTGATGAAGATCAAAGACCACAGCCTTCAGTATGGATTACAACTCAACATACAGAAAACAAAAATCCCCACAACTGGACCAATAAGCAACATCATGATAAATGGAGAAAAGATTGGCGATGTCAAGGATTTCGTTGTACTTGGATCCACAATCAAAATCCATGGAAGCAGCAGTCAAGAAATCAAAGGATGTATTACCTTGGGCAAAACTGCTGTAAAAGATCTCTTTAAAGAGTTTAAAAGCAAAGATGTCACTTTGAGGACTAAGGTGTGCCTGACCCAAGCCATGATATTTTCAATCGCCTCATATGCATGCAAAAGCTAGACAATGAATAAGGAAGACTGAAGAAGAATTGATGCCTTGAATTATGGCGTTGGCAAAGAATACTGAATATACCGTGGACTGCCAAAAGAATGAACAACTCTGTCTTGGAAGATGTACAGCCTGAGTGCTCCTTGGAAGCAAGGATGGTGAGACTTCATCCAAGGTACTTTGTATATGTTATCAGGAGGGGCCAGTCCCTGGGCAAGAACATCATGCTTGGTAAGGTAGACGGTCAGCGAAAAAGAGGAAGACCTTCAACAAGATGGATTGACACAGTGGCTGCAACAATGGGCTCAAACACGGCAACAAGTGTGAGGATGGCGCAGGACCAGGCAGTGTTTTGTTCTGTTGTACATAGGGTCCCTATGAGTCAGAACCAACTCTAAGGCACCTAACAACAACAACCGCTTAACAGATAAGTACTTTCCAGATGAGGAAACCGCAGCTCTGCGGCTTTAAATCTTCCCCAACATGATAGATTGAAACCTAGGTGTTGCCTGATAAACGGACTATACTCTCCAGTCTGATTATCTGGCTAACTATATCAATCAGAGGAATAAGGGCAGACAGAGTACATGGAAGAGCCTAGGAAATGAAGACTAAGCTGCACAAATCTGATTTGAAGCTGGATGAGTTTAGAAAGGGTGATGTATTAGCTTTCTAGGGCCGCTATAACAAATTACAAGCTGGTAGCATAGAATAACAGAAATTTATTCTCTCACAGTTCTGGAAGTTAGAAGTCCAAAATCAAGGTGTCAGTAGAACCGTGCTCTCTCCGAAGGTTTTAGGGGGAGAATCTGTTCCATGCCAGCCTCTTAGTTTTTGGTGTTGCCGACCATCCTTTGTGTTCCTTAGCTTGTAGACACATCATTCCCATCTCTGCCTCCATCGTCACAAGGCGTTCTCCCCGTATGTCTGTGTCTCTGCTCTTCTTGTAAGGACACCAGTTATGTTGGATTAGGACCCAACCTAATGACCTCATCTTAACCTGGTTACATCTGCAAAGACTCTATTTCCAAATAAGGTCACATTCACAGGTACAGGGATTAGGACATGGACATTATCTTTTTGGGAGGACATAATTCAACCCATAGCAGGGAGGATCAAAGGGAGCCAGAGCAGTGCAACACTGGTTGCTGTGCACAAGAATCACCTGGAGATTCTGGTACCCCAGATTCTGTCAGATTCAGTGGGTCTGGCTTGGGCTTCTGCCATCTCTCAACAGCTACGAGGCTCCATGGACAACTGTCCCCTTTGCATGCGCCCAGAAGAACTAGATGGTGCCAGTTACCTTTACTGAACATTTTGATCAAAGATTTTATAGAATAATCCTGATCAAGGGGGTAAATGTGAAACAGAATTATGGATTACACCTTCAGAGAATTTCAAACTCTCATGGAATCCAGATTTCTGGAGCCATGGAGGCTGAATGAATCCCTGAAACTACTGCCCTGAGAAAATCTTTAAACCTTGAGCCAAAAATATCTCCTGAAGTCTTCTTAAAACCAAACAGTAACTTAGCTTAACTAGTAAAGAATGTCTGCTTTGAGCATTATGCTCTTTTAAGATTTATCTATATGGGATCAAGAGGAGCCCTGGTGGTGCAATAGTTAAATGTTTGGTTGCTATCCGCAAAGTTGGAGGTTGAAACCCACCAGCCACTCCTTGGGACAAAGATGTGGCAGTCTGCTTTTGTAAAGATTTACAGCCTTAAAAACCCAATGGGGCAGTTCTACTCTGTCCTATAGGGTGGCTATGAGTTGCGATTGACTCAACGGCAATGGTTTTGTTTTGGTTTGGTATATGGGATGAAACTGACAACAGCAACTTGAACGATGAGATAGGAACTTTAGTGGGCAGTGAGTTTATGGGAATGGGGGAGGAACAACTCAGAAAAGGAGAGTGGGAATAGTTGCACAACTCGACAAATGTAATCAATGTCACTGAATTGTACATGTAGAAACTGTTGAATTGATGTATATTTTGCTGTGTATATTCTCAACAACAACAAAAATAAATTATTTTTTAAAAAAAGCTTCCAGGTGAGGCCGCAGGTCCTCAGACCACATTGGGGGCGGGAGTGGGGGCTAGAGGAGGGAGGGAAGGGTTTCTGGAAGAGCTGGGTGTTAAATGATTTGGGGAGAGATTGGAAAGGGGCTGACAGCCCAAGCCAAGTTGAAGCCTTTTTTTGCCCCCCAGGCATGATCCCTTAAAGAATCTAATCTTGTCTTGGAAGGCACACAGGTGATTCTGCAAACAATTTCGGGGACACACAATTGTGGAAGCCCACCCATAGATTAAGAACCCTCAATTCTTAAAATGAGAGAGAAGCAAAAAACACAGGCCCTCTCAGAAGAGGTAGAAGCATTAGGGATCAAAGTGTCCAGCTCTGTCTCACAGGCGCAGTCTAGGAGACGGCGAGTTCTCACCCGAGGTCACCAGTGCGGGCGTGGCGCTGGACCCGAGCCCAGGCTTGTCTGAGGCCACCGCTGATGCAGTACGTACCTCACCGTTCTACTCGCTGGATGAATCAGAAGACCCACAGACCACTGCCCCCACCATGCACAACAGGCTGCACCTCCAAAGAGTTTGGAAAGCAAGCTGTGGGTTTGGAAAGCAGCCTTACAATTTTGAAAGTGGACTTCAGACACCCTTGCTGCAAGCCCATTCCAGCCAGGAGAGGAAGGGGGCAGCAACCAGCAGCATTGGGACCAAGATCAAGGAAGCTGAGAGCTCCTCCTGCCCTGTGGTGCTTTTGTTTGTACCCGTGTCTTCTCGTGGAGTGCAGCTTAGAACTTCCCCAGCAGCCACAACGCGTGCCACCAGGACAAGGCATCTCAGAGCAGCAGGTAAAGACCCTGGCCTTACCCCACCATCAGCCTGAAGGACAGTTTGCAGCAGGAACAAAGGCAGCCAGACGCAACGCATCTGAAAACTCTTTATAAAAACTCCGCATGCCAGAACGCGAGCCCAACTGCCCTCAGACTATTTTCAAAGAAGTTTCATCACAGGGATACTTAAAACAGACCAGCTACCCCAGATGTGAAATGCAGCCTGCCACCCTTCAGTGCTCAGCCCAGGAGAGAATGCACGTGTTTGTTGAGCGAACAATTAATACTCCACATACCTACCAGCTTCCAGAACCCACGAAGCGCACTTGTCCACTGAGCATGTGGAAGACTGCCCTTCCCTTCTCTTCCTGAACCACTTGCTATTGGTTTGCGCCACCTGACCAGCCCAAACCCTCGCTGAAGATCAGATGAGGTCAGCAGTCAGTGAGATCCCAGAACGGGGAGGGTGGCTGATTAGCCCAGACCATGGAGATGCCCCAACATTAGAGCCACCTGGACATTCCACATCTACAAACCCATTTTCTGAGAAGCTTTTCACCTTGGAAATACCTACTGAGTTACCAGAGTACTCCTGGGAGGACCCCATCTCAGCCATTTAGCACCTGGTGGCCTACCTGACCTGACTGGAGACCTCTTATGATGGTTATGGTTGTGTCAACTTGGCTGAGCCATGAGTCTCAGTGGTTTGGCAGTTATATAATGATGTAATTTGACAGTTGTGTAATGATGTAGTCATCCTCCATGATGTGATCAGCCAATCAGTTGTAAGGAGTTTCCTCGGGAGTGTGGCTTGCATCTAACATACACATGGATATTCTGGCAAAGTTCGCTTGCTTGTTCTGGATCCTGCATCCAGCTCATCATCATCTGACCTCCGGTTATTTGGACTTCAGCCAGCAGCCTGTATTTTTACCTGCCTATCTTAGATTTCTCAGCTTCCACAGCCTGGGAGCCAGTGACCTGCAGTCTGACCTGCAGATCTTAGGTTTGTCAGTCTCTGCAGCTACGTGAGGACAACCCTTCAGCCTGACTCCTCACCCATGGACTTGGGACTTGCCAGTCTCCTCAACTGCATGAACCATTCCCCTGAGATAAATCTCTCTATATATATACATATATACACACTTCACTGGTTTTGCTTCTCTAGAGAACCCAGCATAAGACACCTGTCCTGGGAGGAAGAGGCTGAAGGTAGGTGATAGAGGAAGGAGGACATCAAAGGAATTATTGCCTAGAGTCTGCTCTGTCACAAGAGTCTTCCATCAGTAGCCAGGTGATTCCAAAAAAAAAAAGACTTAGGAAAGCTCAGGGCAGGCCCAGATCAGACAGGACTCAAGGTCAGAAACAGGCTCAAACAGAGTGGGAAACCGAGCACAGGTGTTCACACATATGAAGGGCCACTCTCACCCCCAAGATTTAAAGATGAGGCTAGGTTGTTTTTTTTTTTAAAAATATAAAATTTTAATAAAGGCTACATCTCTTAATTACAATAATTATTGTACCAAGTAATTTTCCTTAAATGAACTCTTTATAATGCATAATTTACAGTATAAGTAGAACAAAATGCCATGGCAAAAGTCATTGAGTACAAGACTTATAATAAAAAGGCATAAAATATATTTATACATAAACCCCTTTCAAAAAACAAGGGAAGCTTGAGCCCTCAATATAGGGCGACTCACGGCATGGACCACCGTGCAGGTACAGGTACTGTACTGATTTAAGGTCAAGCACTAGAGATAGTGGATTAATACTCTTTTGCCGTACGATATATACAGACGTATAGTACAAGATAACAATGGCAAACAGAATGTACAGATTAACTTAACACAAAAACCTGAACATCAAAATGAAGGTGTTGGGGTGCAGGGGGGGTGAAGGGTGCTGCTAGGTCTTCTCATAATTGTTCACTTCTCTGCAGGGGAGGAGGCTACTTTCCTGAATGGCTATGGTCCAAAAACAAATTTAAAAAAAAAAAAAAAAGGAACTGGTATTTCAATAAAAGCACAAGACTGAACCACAAGGCAGTGGCTCCAGCAAGCCTCAGGCATCAGGCTGTAGGCCTGGGGTGAGCTACAAGACGTGGAGCCCCAGAAACAGCGTAAATCTAGGGAGCCAATGTAAGTCCCCCCTCCCCACCACGATGGATTATCCCATCAAATATGACATCCCAAAACAGCGCTGATGTTGCAACACGGTCAACCCTCAAGACCTTTTTGACAAAATAGAGCAGCACAGACAAAATATGCACCAATTTCTGTGTGTGTAAATGGCAGGGCACCATTTTTAAAAAGTCTATCTTCACTTGGAGAAAATGCAGGACAAAGCATAGTTTCTCTTCGAATGGCAAAATTATTAATGCACTCCTAGCTCAACTCCTCAGTTTAGATAGAACAACTAAAACTTCCTCTCTCCCCCTTCCGTGTTTTAAGCAGCATATCCATAAACTGGGGGTGGGGGAATCAATTGTTCAATAAATATCAGGAAGGATTCCTGTTCAGGTAAGCTATACACAGTTTCTCTTAGTTTACGAATTTCAGTTCCCTAGGAAGGCATATATTATGTGTGGAAGTCTCTCAAATACAGTCAGCATCTTCAACAGCCAAGAGTGGTCATGTTTTTAATAAATAGTTCAGGCTTTTCTTATCTCAGTACCCAGCTCATGAATAATGAAAACCAACCTCCCCCCACCCTCCCAAAGGCCCAGTGGCCAATTCTTCCCCAGACTTTGTCTTCTTCATTGGTTTAATTTTCCTTCAAAGTGTTTTGTCACTGTAGCTCATGTCCAAGACAGGTCAGGCGGGCTTGGATTCGATAGTTCCCCAAAGCCAGACCCGAAGGGCTCAATCGATCCTCTCCACCTTCCCCAGAATCCTCCCTTCATACATGGGGAGCACCGTGTCGTCATCCCAGATCTCCTCAAACACCGCTCCACAGGCAAACTCGTCGCTTGCTTTTTTGAAATAATACCTTAAAAGAAAAACCAAAAGAGCTTTCTGGGTAAAGGTGCATGTTCTGCATGGTTTAAAAGAAAAGTATGCCAACATTGAAGACTGAGACATCTTAATCTGCGACGGCGCATACATGCAAATCTTTGCCCGCATTTGATTGAAGATGGCAACTGGGGCTGGCCCAGCAGCACAGAACAGGAAGGTCCTGTGCGCTCGGGAGAACAGCAAGGCCTGCTGGGAGAAGCAGCCCAACGCAGGCCTTCCAACTGCAAACTACTCTGGGTCTGCAGCCTTCAGCCTGGAATTGCTGCTGCCGGCGGATGCACCCACATTGTGGAAAGGATACTTTGCAGAGTAGAGCTGTTTCTTTCCCTTTTTATGGGTATAAGATGAGGGTAAGGAGCCCTGGTGGTGCAACTGTTAAGCGCTCGGCTGCCAACTAAGAGGTTGGAAGTTCAAACCCACCCAGTGACTCCACAGGAGAAAGACCTGGCGATCTGCTCCCGTGAAGATCACAACCTAGGAAGCCCTATGGGGCCGTTCTACTCTGCCACATGGGGTTGCTACAAGTCAGACTTGACAGCACCCAACAACAGGATGGGGGTATGGGAAAGGAAGGGCCAAGCATGCCTCTCGCTCACTTGTAGCAGCAGACGGGGTAGGGGTGGCGGCCCCAGACTCAGGGCTACAGGTTCAGCCAGACTTTGAGCCCGCGTTATCAGTCTGCGGGACACCTCCTCTCATCCTTCCCACCCTCCAGCGCCTAGCTGCAATACTTCCTAAGGTCTCCAGCACAGCTGTGGGACACGCTGCCACTGGCAGAGCCAGGCCAGCCCAGTCCTGCTGCCCAGGGTTGAGCAGCCAGCACCCCCCTTCCCCCGATTCCCTCCTGCCTCTCCCATCCTACCCTTTGAGGGTCAAACACCAAGGGCCCTTCTATTATGCCCCTTGATTAAAGGTTCCTGTTACCCCACCCCAGTGTCCTTTCTTCTAAGGCTGTTTAATTGCATGGGCATAAATGACCAGTCTCTCCGGAGAGTCACTGCTGTCCTCTCGGGTCAGGCCCACTCCCATCCGCCTCCCAAGCGAGAGCCCCTTCTGTCTCCATCCCCAGCAAGGGGACCCCTCAGATGGATTAAACTTGCTCCTGGCAAGCTGTCATTTTCAGCCAATAAAGGCCACTCACAGGGGCAAGGTCGAAGTCCCCTGGGGAAGACAGGAACATCTCTAAAAAATTTAATTGTTTTGGGGTTAGACTTTTTTGTTTTTGCCTTTACTCTTAAAAAAAAAAAAAAAATTCCCCTTGGTTAGAGCTAAATTTCTTTTCCTCTTCAATGAATGCAAGCCAAATTCTTTCATAGGAGATAAGGCTAAATAAAGTGAAACAGCTGGGTTTAGTCAAGGTACTTTGCTTTTAGCATTCCCAGCGAATGAAGGCACCAGGGATGGACATCGCAGCTCTGACGGGCCAGTGATGAAAACATTTCATATTAAGGGGATCAAAACGCTTGGGGGAGCCCAAGACGGTGAACAATTGGGGAGGGGCACTGTGGCACAGGAGACCCAGGACAGTGGAAAAAGCCAGTTTCCAAAGAGGCTCAAATCCTGACCCCGCCCTCAGCTGTGCCCTTGAGCCCCCAACTCCAACCCCTCTGGGGCTTAACCAATGTGGTCTTTTACAGCATTGCGCGGAGCAAACACGCAATGACCTTTTACATAATTGCAACCTCCTTTCAGAGAGCAGAGCAGCAGCATTCCCTCCGCCCCACCCCCAAGACTTCAAACGCCCTGTGCTGCCCTCTTTTTCTCCAAGAAACTGGCTTTTCCACTGCAACAGGCTTTATGTGGCAAACTTTGCTTTCTTCTGACATCTGGCACCAACAGCGTCTGGCATGTCTGGAGGCAAATGTTCTCATTTTGAACCTCTGCCACGTTCAGATTACTCAACACGGCCCAGGTCCGCCCCCAACTCCGCACGAGGGGCTTTTTATGGGGGGAGAGAGGGTTGAGATGTTTGAGCACCACCCCTGAGCCCCCATGTCCCCAGGAGGGCCCGGAGTCCAGCTCTGACCCCACAGAGCAGAGATAAGGTAGCTGGCAGGGCCGTGGCCACAATCTGATCCAATCAGGGAAAAATCTGAGAGGGACCATTTGTGCCGGTGTTCGTGCATTAAACGGGAGGCCAGGGCCTCGAAGCCGGGCTGCTTCAGTGAGCCTTAGGAAAAAACTCGGAGCCACACGTGGCCGGAGCTGCTGGGCGAGGCACCGTCCCTGCAGCCTCCAGCACCCTCTGCTCCGTGGCCCTTCTCCCCTGAAGGTCACCTGCAGTTCCACTCAGAGTCCAGCAAGTCACAGCTGAGAGCAACATGAACCCCTGGAGGGCCACACGTGGGGAATGAGTATCACCTTGTATCTGTTCAGATAAAAAGCAGCAGCCAGGCCTCTTTCCCATCCCTTTGATACATCTGGGAATCCTCTCAGCCCAGGTGGAGAAGGGAAAGATCTGAGCACGGTGCCACGCCCTGCCTGTCAACCACGGACAGGGCCCGGCCCCAGCGCCCCCCGCCCCCCTCCGCCACCACTGCAGCCAGTGCTTTTGGCCTCTGCCCAAATAAATTCCAAGATGAAGGCAGCCTTCCTGGCTGCGAAGGGCCTGCCCTGGAAGAGACAGGGTCTCAGGGCCTGTGTCCTGGAGGGAGCCGGGGCCCACCTGCCACCTGCCGGGTTGCTCATTCAGGAGTTCTATACACACACACGCTGACCCCAGCTCGGGAGGCAGGGATGGCTGGGCACCTTTTGGGCGCATACTGTGGTTCTGCACAGGCCAGACAAGGGTGAGGCCAGCAGGGTGCCCAGGGCACAATTTAAGGAGGCCCTCGGTCTCAGGTGCCAACCTGCACTTGCAGGAGCCTGAGAGTCAGTGCTACCTTGAATTATGTGCCCTGGGCACCCACTAAGGTCCCTGGTGGTGCCAACAGTTTGAGCTCTACTACTAACCTAAAGGTTGACGGTTCAAACCCACCCAGCAGCACCACATAAGAAAAGCCTGGCAATCTGCTTCTGTAAAGATTACGGCCAAGAAAACCCTATGGAGCAGTTCTACTCTATAGCACATGGGGTCACCGACTCAATGGCAATGGGTTTGGTTTTCTTTTTGGGCGCCCCACTGGCCTCACCCTAGTCCCAGCCCTGCACCGGAAATAGCACTGGGGCAGAATCCACATTTTCCAGTGGGATGAAGGCCACTGAGAAGAGGCAGGTGGTCTCTGGACAGACTGAGATGTAGTAATCACCTGCCCCTCACTAACGGGAAAGAGGAGGAGAAATGGCCAGGGCTGGGCCTTGTCTGGTCAGCTCCTCTCGCTGGGCCTGCAAGCCAGTGTGGGTGTCTACACTCTCAGGGGAGGGAAAGAGCCCTCTGCCTCAGGCTCCAGCAGGGAGGGGAAGGCAGTGGGGCCCAGGCTGGGACAGTGGCCAGCCCTATTCAACCCGTGCCCACCCACAGGTCCTGCCCCTCCTTTGTTAAGAATAAAACAGCATCTCTGCTTCAAATGACCCGTAAACAGAGCCAAACAGTGAGGTGGTCCTTCAGGCAGAAAGGCTGAGCAAGGAAGCACTGCCCAGGTTTCTAAGGATTGGTCTCTGCCCTTCCTGGCACCTTCAGTGTGGGGAGTCTCTCCCAGGCCTAGGCCAGAAGGAGAGCAGTGCTTTCAGCTCCTCCCTCCTAAGTGCTCCGTCTGTCTGTCCACCTCTCTCTCTCACACACACACACTCCCTCCTCTTTTAGAAAGTGCTCCCATAAAATGGCCCAAGCCCAGCTCTCCTTCTTACAAAGCAGATTGCTCTCTTCTTCCTCAAAGTCGTGTTCACCTGGTGGAAAAGTCCAGGCCAGGGCCCCACAGAACCTGCCCTCCTAACCCCCAGCAGCCTCCTTGCTGCTGTGTTATTTCTGTCAGTGGGGAGGGGAGAGACGAAATGAGAAAAGATGCCAAGCGGCCCAGCCCACTCCAGCGTCCTCCCCCAGCCCCCTTGCCCCTCCCAAGCCACTCCCAGGTCCGGTCAGGTCAGGGGAGGTGCTCCTCACTCTGGCTCTCGGTCCTGAGCAAACACACTCTGGAGAAGAAAGAAGCCGCAGGACTCTTACCGATAATTTCCCTTTTTGCTGAGCTGCTCTTTGAAGTGGCCCAGGGTCAAGCTCTGGGCCTTCAGCATCCTCCTGTACGGAATTTCTTCTCCACAGAAAAAGTAAGTGACAACCAGCTCACTGGCCTGGAGCGGGTAGACACCCGCCAGTTTCTTTGGCTCTTTGTGACTGGAAATAAGACAACAGGCAACATGTTCAGCATTTTAAAGCCATGGGCAAGCACACACACGAGAAGGGGGCAGGCACCTGGAGACTCAGAGAAACTGAGGCAGCCATTCTGGCAGGCACACAGGCCACCCCCACATCAACTGCATGGGGTGTGCAGGAAGGAACAACTCCCTTTTGGTTGTACAAATCGACACCATCTACCACCAAGTGGGGGCCTGGAGCAGCCTTTCAGATTAGCACCAATGGGGCACACATCCCACCCAAACCAGGAATAATGCAGGGATGAGCCCAGAGCACCTCCAGGGATGCCAAGAACTCGGAATGCCCAGACCTCACTGGGGTTAGTCCACAGTGATTTCCACTTCCCCATCTGTTCACGTTTTTGTACAGTGGCTTAAAAAAAAAAAAAAAAAAGCTGTTGGCCAAGACAGCTGGTGGACTTAAGGTCAACCAATTAAAACAAAAGGGCCCAGGGAGGTGGCTTAGCCAGGACTTCAAACATTGCTCGTTGCTCAAGATGAAAAGGCAAAGAAAGAAAACTTTAATTATTTAGACCATTTTTAGATCTCTGGTGCAGATTTGTTTCAATGCACCATCCCGTAATTAAACGAAGCCGGTCTTCTCTGTCCGCTTTACAAGAGAATAAATCTCCACAGAGAAACAATACAACTCGGGAGGGCAGTCCTTCTTCTCTCCAGGCAAAAAACCAAGAGTGTCCTCCCTGTGTCTGCAATGGTGGAAATCACCTTCCCGCTCAGGTGTGCACAATAGGTTTCCAGGACCGCTGACTGGCAAGGTGACAGGTACAACTCTTCCACCCCTGCTTAGAGTCCTCTCTGCCCACCTGCTAAGGGCTTCACAGCCCAGCCTAAGACTACAGTGTGCCCAGGGACGCTAGGCCCATCCATCCCACCCAGGAGGGAAACTTGTGCGTAAGTCATGACGCACGATGTAGGTTTTGAATGATTCCTATTTATGGCAACACCTGTGTTCCTGTTTGTTGTCACTCATGTTAACATCAAGAGGTGGTTTTATAGACCAAAAAAAAAAAAAGTTTCAAAAGAACACAACTCCAGATGTTTCATGCCCTGGAATGCGACCCGCTTGGCAGATGTTGGGAGAGCCAGGTAAGGACACTCACTCTTCGGGAGCCAGGGCTGGAGTGGAGAAAGGTGTGGCTCCTGCCTGCCCAGGGGCCGAGTGGCTTCTGTCCCTCTGCTGACTGGCTGCACAGCACCTAAGGACACAGCCAGGGCGAGGGGTTGAACAGTTCCCCCAAGGCAATCAGGGAGCAGACAGGAAGTCGCTTTCGGGGGTCCTGAAGACACACAGACTCAACTTCCAACCTTGGTGGGACCCAATCAAGGCCTTGTGTTAACATGGGTCCAGGAGGCCTAGAGGAGCCCTGGTGGCGCCAACAGTTAAGCACTCAACTACTAACTTAAAGATTAATGGTTCAAACCCACCAAGCGGCTCTGCAAGAGGAAAGACCTGGGGATCTGCTCCTGTAAACATTACAGCCTAGAAACCCTATATGGCAGTTCTACTCTGTCACATGGGGTTTCTAGGAGTTGGAATTGACTTGATGGCACCCAACAACAGGAGGCCTGGAAGACATCTTGGGAAGGGCCATCCTAAACCACCTCTGGACACCCAGGACAGGATACTCCCAGCCCAGACAAATGCTAAAGGGTCGGCATTCCCCACCAGGTATGGTTTCCTCATACACGCATCTAACTGGCTTTAAATGATTGGGACAGGAAGAAAACTCGGTAAGGAATTGGCAGAATTTATTCTCCTATTTCTAGGCATGACCTGCCTGAACGGATCCTGGTTCACTCCAATGAAACAAACACAGCTAAAGGAAACAATGTCTGGAGGCTGGAAGGGAAAATCTTAGGCAATTCCTCCTCCCCAACAAGGGTTCAGGGTCTTTCTCATTAGGAGAAGGCCCTGGGTGGTACAAATAGTTAATGCGCTCAGTTGCTAACCAAAACGTTGGTTCGAGTCCACCCAGAGGCACCTTGGAAGAAAGGCCTGGTGATCTACTTCCAAAAAATCAGCCACTTGAACACCTTATGGAGCACAGCTCAGTCCCTGGGTGGTGCAAATGGTTTGCACTTCACTACTAACCTAAAGGTTGATGGTTCAAACCCACCCAGTGGCACCATGTAAGAAAGGCCTGGCAATCTGCTTCCGTAAAAATTAGCCAGGAAAACCCTATGGAGCAGTTCTACTCTATAACACATGTGGTCTCCGTAAGTCAGATTCGACTCGATGGCGTTTGGTTTGCTTTGGTCCCATGAAGAATAGGCCAGGTCTCTGCCTCCAAACCCAACCACCGCCTTAAACTCTGAATTCAGTCTTGGGCCGTCCCCCATCCACTTACCGCTGCTTTGGGGGCTTTGACACCTCAGCCAACCTGCGGCAGGCCTCCTCCAGCTGTGCCAGGGTGTTGGGTGGTGTCAGGGGAGGCATGGCAGGGTCCTGGGTGAACGGGTGGGCCCGGGGGATGGTGCGGGGGTGCCCATTGCTGGCCCCCCACAGATGGTGCCGGCCGGCTCGCTCACCAGAAGCTACACGGGCAGACTCCCCAGGGTAGGCCTTTTTTATGCTTTGGGCACTGAACAAGGAATGAAGAGAAAGCAGAAAGAAAGAAATTGGGTTAGCAAAACTGGAAAATGTGACTTCAATAGAAACTTCTCTATTCTGCTCTCAGAGAGAGAAAAAAAAAAAAAATAGCTCTACCACCACACGAGCAAGGGCTATTGCCAAAACATGACATTTTTGTGGTCTACTCCATCCAACATCTAATATTAAGATGGCAGGGGCAAACAGTCACATTTGTTTTCAGCCGGCTGCAGAAATAGCCGTCCCCATGATACTTCAGTATTGACTGTGCTGACCCACACGGTGGCCACAGCGGGTGGAGGGGCGGGCGGGTGTTTACCTATGGGGCTTGGGCTTGCTCTGCCGCTCGCTCTCCAGCATCCACTGCCAGACATCCTGCGACCTGTCTCCTTCCTCCCGGGGAAGCTGCGGTGCCCCAGCCCCACCTGGGGCCCCTCCTTCCCTGGTGGACAGGGCCAGGCCTGGCTCCATGCCTTTCCCACTCCGTTTGGGCAAGGTACTGCCTCTGCTGCCGCTGTGGGGAACCAAGAACCACACCAACCCAGAGACCCCGTTAAATCTCGGCACTCCTCAAATGGGACGCTTGGTGAGTGGGGGGATGCACCTGCCACCCTCCTCCCCCACCCTGCCCTGCCCTCTGCCTCCCTCCTAGAAGCTAAATGCCTGTGACCCCTGACCCACCTCAGACCTGCCCAGGGCACTGGCTGGGAGAAGCCCAAACTGGGGCGGCAGGATCTGCCGACACTCACCCAAACGGCTCCCCCAGCATCGGCTCCAGCACCTTGGGGTGGCTCTTGCACCTGGCATAGCAGTAATACTCGGGGCCCCCGGGGCAGAGGCAGCGCACCCTCTGTGCTGCCTCCGCCTCGATCTCCTCCTTGCTCTTAGGCCCAGCGTGGTGGTGGATATAGTGGTGGTGGACATGCTTTGTCGTCTGCTTGGCCACAAAGCCCCTGCCCCCCAGCAGGGGGCAGCCGGCCAGCGTGGCTGCTGAAGGGGGCAACTTGCTCCCGGGCGGGAGGAGGGAGTGGTGCTGGTGGTGGTGGTCGGGGGAGCGGGAGCGGGGGCTGTAGCGGCCCATGCCCGGCGACTGGCAGCCGGGGGTCTTGAGAACCCTCGACAGGTGGTCATCGAGAATGGTCTGCGGGTCTTCCTCATAGCTGCCGGAGGGCAGGAGGGAAAGTGGGTGCTGTGGGGGGCCCCCCTCCCGTGAGCTCAGCGCCAGCTCGGACCCCTCCTTCTCTTCATCCTGCAAGGGGAGGAAGTGACCAGTGAACAAGAGGGGACCACCCAGCCCCTCTGCTCTAGAAACCCCTCACCCGGTGGGTAGCCCGTCCAGAGGTGGACACTCCCTACATGCCCTGGCCCGAGAGTGAAGGTGGCGGCCCAGCACTACCTCTCTGATTTGCTGCAGCCGCTCCTCCAAGCTGTGGCGACTCTCCAGCTCCAGCTTCAGCTTCTCCAGCCTGGAGATCAGGTCAGCCGCAAAGATGGCGGGTTCCACGGGGGTCATCTCCTTGGGCAGGCGATGGGTTCTCTACAGGATGCAGGGAAGACAGGGACGAGCCACATTTAGCAGGCCCAGGGCACGGAAGCGGCGACGGTGGCCTCGCCCTAGCTTCCCGGGCCCCATGCCGCTGGCCGCGTCCCCATGTTCGGATAGAAGGCGGCTGGCAAGGCGGCCGGGGCTGCTCAGGATTTTTATGTGGCGGCACCATGGCCTCATGGAGAGCCATGGTCCCCACCAGCATTCGCCTTGGGCAGGAACAGTTGGTCGCACTCCGAGGGGCCCGGCGTGTTCTCTGTGTAGTACAACCAGCCCATCAGTAGCTACTCTGAAGACGAAAATCTTCAAAGACTGTTGTCAAACATCAAAAAAAAAAAAAAAAGGCAGCCCTCCAATGTGGGGAGGGGAGCAAGAGACCAACTCAAGGAATAAAAAGTAGAGTCTAAACAGAAAGGGAGTTGGAAATTAAAAAAAATAAGATTGGAAGGGAAGCGGGGGGGAGGAAAAGGAAAAAAAATAGAGTCGGACGGCTGGGGATCAGAGGAGAAGCGGTAATTTATTTCCCGGCCGCACACTGCGCACCTTTGAGGTGGTGTTGTCTCAACGCTGTCCTAGATCTCACTTGCTCTCCTCCGCCCCTCCTCCCCATCTCTTTGTACAGAAAATGAAGAAAGCCGCTGCAGGCTAGTAGCAGAACACTGCTGAGCTTGGCTGCCTAAAGCTGCTCTATCAAGGGAAAAGGGAACATCTCCAAATCAAGTACAGAATATAAAAAGGCACTGGGCACGTGTGCCAAAAGCAGCAAACAGAGAGAACCCCTGCCACCCGCCTTTTGGTCCTTTTCCTGTCATCTCGCCCCACCCCAGCCTCCACCTCCTCAGTTGTGTGACCTCCTTCTTCCTCAGTTCCCTCTCTCACCTGGCCCTACTTTTTGGGGTGGGAGTGGGGGAGCAGAAGGCCAACCTGCTAAGGCCGCCTTTAGCCCAGCCAGGCTCACCCCAGCAACCACGTAGCAGCAAAAATATGTGAGGGGGCAAGAAGGTGTCAGAAAGGGTCGTTCTCACACAGGCCAGCTGATCAGGCCCTGATCAAAGCGCTGCCTTGTGGAGAAAGTTGATTTGCACACCCCAGGACAAAATCATCTAATTTACAAGCTTGGGTGATGGGACTTTTCTTTATAAATACATTCATACACACACCTCAGTCCAAAAAAAAAACCCAACCCCAATATATCATCAATACTGGTGCATTTTGGGGGGTTGTTTTATTGGGGGAGGCTGCTAGAGGGTCCAGAAAAGCAATCTTAGTTTTCTCAATTCAAAAAAAAATAAGACAGGTAAGTCTGTTCTTGTCTGTGCAAGGAACCAGAGAGAAATTATTCCAGCAGCATCCACTCTAATGCCACATAGACTTTTGTGATTCGATGTGTTAATTTTCTAAGTGCTAGACAGGTCAATTGGATTTTCTGAAGCCGGCGGACAGGAATTCATAAGCAGAGATGCCTGCTTTAAACTGGGTGGTCTCTCCCCGTCTCTGAATATCTGAATAAAAGCGTCCCTGAAGCCTGGATCTCAGAGCTCCTGAAATGGAAATGTAGACAGGGAAGCTCTAGGGTACAGAGACCACATGCTGCCAGCCCTTGAGGACAAGGAGAGAAAAAGGGCAGTCCCAGAGAAGTCCTCCCCCAGTGTCATGGACTGAATTGTGTCCCTCCCAGAGAAGTCCTTCCCCAGTGTCATGGACTGAACTGTGTCCCCCCAAAATGTCATCAACTTGGCTAGGCCATGAGTCCCAGTATTGTATGACTGTCTACCATTCTGACATCTGATGAGAATTCCCTATGTGTTATAAATCCTCCCTATGTGTTGTAAATCCTATCACTATGATGTAATAAGATGGATTAGTGGCAGTTATATTGATGAGGTCTACAAGATTAGATAGTGTCTTAAGCCAATCTCTTTTGAGATACAGAAGACAGAAGCAAGCAGAAAGACATGGGGACCTCATACCAAGAAAGCAGTGCCAGGAACACAGCACATCCTTTGGACCTGAGGTTCCTGTGCCAAGATGCTCCCAGACCAAGGGAAGACCAATGACAAGGACCTTCCTCCAGAGCTGACAGAGAAGAGAAAGCCTTCCCCTGGAGCCGGCACCCTGAATTCAGACCTCTAGCCTCCTGCACTATGAGAGAATAAACTTCTCCTTGTTAAAGATATCCACTTGTGGTATTTCTGTTATAGCAGCACTAGATGACTAAGACACCCAGTAAGCCTGCCTCTCCTCTCAACCACAGGCAGAAGCCACTCACGTGACCCTCACTTGCAGACACTTCTCTCATTCAGTATGTATTAAGCACTGTTATGGATGGAATTGTGTCCCCCAAAAATACACGTTGTAAATCCCAACCTCTATGCTTGTGGTTATAATCCCATTTGGGAATGGGTTGTCTCTGCTATATTAATGAGGCAGGATTAGTGCAGGGTGTGTCTTGAGTCAATCTCTTTTGAGATACAAAGACTAAACAAGCAAGCCACCAGAGGAGAAATGGGATAAGACAGATGCCAAGACACATGGAGATCTCCAAAGAACAAGGAAGAAGAAGCTGAAGAGACAAGGACCTTCCTCCAGAGCCATCAGAGAGAGAAAGCCTTCCCCTAGAGCTGGTGCTCTGATTTTGCACTTCTAGCCTCCAAAACTGTGAGAAAATAAATTTTCATTTGTTAAAGCCATCCACTTGTATTTCTATTACAGCAGCACTAGATAACTAAGACTCAACAGCAGGTACTATGCCAAGTTCTAGGGATGGAAACAGACAAGACAGAGCAGCTGCCTTTCAGGATCAGCAGCAGAAATGGTCAAGTAGATATGTAAGTGGACAACTGAAATGCCTGAGCCGTGTGGAAGACACAAGAAGCAGATGTCCTAGGGCATAACTCTCTAGCCTCATCATTCATTCATTTAACAAGTATTCACTGAACACCTACGATGTGTCAGGCACTGTTTCTACGGATACAGATGTTAACAAAATAGACAAAATCCCCTGCCCTCATGGGACTTCCATTCTAGTGAAATCTGTACCAATGAGCAGACCATGCTCGAGAGAAGCATGGCGTGTCTCCCAACATTTCTTGGTTTCCAGGAAAGAGTGCTTTGGTGTCTTTCTCATAGAAAATTTTCTTTTTTGAATTGAGAAAACTTGAGGGGTCAAACAGGTCATCTTGAGACTCATAACCACATCACTCTGCTCAAATTCATGCCCCAACCAACCACTAATGCCCTCTGCCCAGTCCTACCCTTCCCTCCCTTTTCCCTAGGCGACCCTCATACTGTTTGCTTCTCCTACCTTCCCAGGACCTCCCCCTTCCTACCCCCTTTTCTTCCTGACTCAACATGGTTGCAAACAACCACCTCCCACGCCAGCCCAATACTCACCGGGAAATGAGGTAGAGACACTTGGCCATTGGCCTTCACACTGCGATGCATTTCTCTCTGGAGCTGTTTCTTACTCCCCACGCGGTATGGAGGGATTCCATCTCTAAGGGAAAACAGAAGAGAACCCGCAGGCTCACTAGAGTGCTTTCAGCAACTGGCTGATGCACGTGCCCCCGAGACCCTGCCATGGGTGGGCTGTGCTTCCGCGAGAGCACACTGCACGTCACCAGGTGCCACCATCCTTTCCGCCAGGAGCACTTGATCCAAGGGCAAACTGCCAAACCAAATTTAAAACCATCAGTCATCTCCCAAAACATGGCTCCCTCTCAGATGCAGGAACGTCAGCTTGGGAAGAGTTGATAAGCTCATCTCTCCACATCCTAGGCTCAGAACTGGGTTATACTCTAACCAGCCCAGACAGTAAAAATCAAAAAAGTAAACTGAATCTATTGTCGTCAAGTTGATTCCCACTAATGGCAACCCTGTGTGTACAGAGTAGAACTGTGCTCCATAGGGTTTTTTTGGCTGTAATCTCACGGAAGCAGATCACCAGGCCTTTCTTACAGCATCGCTGGGTGAGTTTCAATCACCAACCTTTAGGTTAGTAGTCGAGTGGAAACCATTTGCACCACCCAGAGACCCAGAGTAATGGCTCCCCTATTTTACTGGTTCCTCAAACAGGAGACTCTAAGGCCCTTTTAGTTCTCCCAATGGTCTGTTACTACCACTGATGTACTCCCCCAAATTGGGGAATCAGGTCCTTGTAGAGAGTACCAGCACAAAAGGTTGTAGGGTTCAAAACCAAACCCAGAGAGCTAAACCAGGCATAGGGAGGTATGCGGAATTCTCCAATCATCAGTCTCCAAGCTACTTCCATGTTTCCTTTTATAAGTTATCACAAGGGTATCTCTGGCTCCTTCCTTCTCTCAGCGCCACACCCTACCCCCCCCCAACCATTCGATTCTCAAAGACCCATGCTCCCCACCATCTGCATTCTGTACAATTCATTCAGAGCCCTGGTGGCATAGTGGTTAAGAGCTCGGCTGCTAACCAAAAAGGTCAGCAGTTCGAATCCACCAGCCACTCATTGGAAAACCCATGGGGCAGTTCCACTCTCTCCTGTAGGGTCACTGGGAGTCGGAATTGACTCGACAGCAATGGGTTTGGTTTGGTTTTTAGTTAAGTGCCACACCCTGCTTTAGGCGCTGGGCCAGAGAGCAGTGAACAAATGGAGAAAAGGGGCAGACATATACCCTCGTGAAGGTTACATTCTGAGGGGTATCACCGGCAATAAGCAAAATATACAGTATGTTTTGTTGTTATTGTTGTTAGGTGGCATCAAGTCGATTTCGACTCGTAGTGACCCCGTGTGACAGAGTAGAACTGCGCCATAGGGTTTCCAAGGTTGTAATCTTTACGGAAGTAGATCGCCAGGTGTTTCTCTCGTGGAGCCACTGGGTAGGTTCGCACTGCTAATCTTTCAGTTAGCAGCAGACTGCTTAACTGTTGCACCACCAGGGCTCCTTACTGTATGCTAGAAGGTGGTAATAAGTACTCTGACAAAATACACAGCAGGAAAGGGGGAGAAAGAACCACGTTGGGGTGGGCTTGCAATTTTAAACAGGGTGGTCAGTGATGTCCTCACTGAGAAGGTGACATTTGAACAAAGACCTGAAGGAAGTATGGGCTCCTATGTCCTTCATCTTCATGAAAAAATAAAAATTAGCAAAAGTGAAAGAGGTTTAAAAAAAGCTGCCACTTCACCTAGTCTTTACTAGAAGCATGACCTGGAGTTGCCACCATTTTTGGTTTTTAAGAACTTCATTCTTGAAAGCAGTCAAATGGTCAAAGACGTGACCGTGTTCCCATCGATATCCCTTCCGTTGGCCACTTATCTACAAAAACCTCAGCGTTTCAAGAGCCATTATGGTCACACCATGTCTATGAGGAATCATACTCAGAGGCTGTCAATACTGGTATCAGGTGTTTGGCTATTCTCCCTTTCCCAGGTTTCTGGTCATCATATGGTGGGAGTTGTATGGGAAATAGAGTGGAAGGAAGACAAACACCTTTGGCTCATCAGCAGTGGGTGGAAATTAGCAGTGCCTAAAAATACCTAGGGAGCAGCCAGGGGTAACTGGTTGACCTCTAGCTCTTTATCTGTGATGCTCTAGAATTCTAAATGACTACAATTTCTGGAAGTCTGCTGGCCTACATCAGAGAGAGGGCCACGGTGAGGACAATGCCAATCACAGCAGATCAACCAACCAATCTACATTAGCCTAGCCAAATCTTGACTAAGAAAGAATGTAAAAGATAATGCTATTGACAGGTGCAGGGGATAGAGCAGATCGCTATCTACAGCAAGAATTTACATATAAAGCATAAGGTCCTACCCCAGAGCAGTCAGAGTAGGGAGTAGAGACAGTGTATCCTGTGGGAAGGGTTAGAGGTTGACCAGTTGGCCTAAGAAACAATTCTCCCAGTCAGGCTCCTGGTCACAGAGGCCTGCCACTTGCCCTGGCCTTTGAAGGTGAGGTAGGATAAAAAGTTCTAAGTCCTGGCAACTTGCTGAGCCCCATGAAGTTTATTTATCAAAACTCAACATATCCATCGGGGGATGGTTTACCCACCACAGGAGAAAATGGCCCCACTGGGCTCTCACATGACTAGCAGCAAATCCCACCTGAAGCAAACAGTTCCAAGAAATTGCAATTTCCATTTATCGAGTTCCTTCTGTGGGTCAGGCAGTGCCCTAGGCCTTGATGTATAATCCAATCTAATTCTCGCAAGCATCCTAATTAACTACATTTTACAGTGACCAGAAAGGCTCGTTAACTTGCCTGAAGACACAGTCAGTTGCAGTTAGATCCAGGATTCAAATCGAAGCCAATGTCAGACTCCAGAACCAATATCTTTACACCTACAACCTACACTCATGACCCTCATTGTCTCAAGATGCCCACTCATTCTACCACATCCCCTCCCAGCCCAGCTAGAGCCAGCCTTCCTGCTGAACTTGGCGTACCACTTCCTAAACCCCAAGGAGGCACCAGACACTCTGAAGGAATGAATGGGAAATTTGGGGGATGGCTCTGGAAAGTCTTCCACCACCACTTCACACTCTGCTTATGGGGCATTCCACATAGTTCCCAAGGCACACTGAATGTCTCCCTATCTCTCACCTGGTATCCCTTGTGGGGTAGGGGTGGAAGTTTCCAAAGATTGGGTTCTCAAGCTGGCGTAACCAACTTCTGCTGCCCCAGGCCTGCAAGACAATACCCACTCCCTTCTCCTGGCTTACTAAGAGTGGATGGCTCTCCCTCTAGGTCTCTTCTTGACAACCTTGGGGGACAGGAGTCAAACACCCATTGGACCCCACCATGAAACAAACAGGGCTTCAAGAGTCCCCAAAGAGTCTGCCTCCAAGACTTACCCTGGAGTTCCCACCAGTAGCCTTGGCTCTTTTCACCTGACTTTCTTCCCAGGCAGACACCAAGGGTCAAGCCAGTTCCCGCCAGATGAAGACAGGAAGAGTAAATGGTTTTATAAGCACCCTTCCCCAACATACTATGACACCAGAGCAGGTGAAGGACCCAACTGCAGGCAACTTGTCACTAGAGCAGAACAGGGAGATTTCAACTTGCAAAGGCTCCACAGGCGCCTTGAAGAAAAGTACCTTTAATTCCCCCAAGTCAAGAATCTTCTTCCAAAAGAGCCCTTCATTCCCAGGCCCTCTTCTTTTACAAGCTCTCAGTCTATGATAAGTTTCTTGGTTGCTCAAAACTGGCCTGAAGAGTACCAGCGTCTCTGCCCCTAAACAGTCTCCTTTAATTATAAACATTTTAACTAATGAGCCCACTGCCGGCTCAGCTGTTTCTGGGGAGCACTGATTTTGAAGTGTGGACTCCAGTTAGCTGCCATGTAAGCAGAGGCAATTAGCTTAGCCTTTTGACTCCACCGTGCCGGACCTGAGCGCCGTTTTCGGCCAGCTTTGAAAATCGCAGACCCACGTGCACATGCGGCCACTGGCACCTTCATTTGGCAACCACTCCAAAGGCGGCCTCGGACCACACCGACATCAAAAGCCGGGTTTGTACGATAAGGTGATATCTGAAGTTCACTCGGGTGCATTCCCTAGTGTCCAGAGTAGATCCATAAATGAGATATGAGGCAATAAAAATAAATAAATAAAACTGTCTGGGCCGCCTGCCTGCGTGAAACGCGAGGAAATGATCTTGTGCCGATTTGGGGACATGCAGAGCAGAAGCCACCCACACACCGAGCTGCTCCTGAGTATAAGAGCTACTCGGTAGTGACAGAAGGAGGAACAGTAGTTGGAGGGGAGGAATCACCAAGCAGTAAAAAACTTTTGGAGGTGACAGGTCTATTTATTATCTTGCTTGCGGTGATGGTGTCATGGGTGTATAAACCAAAAAACCGAACCCACTGCTGTCGAGTCGATTCCGACTCATAGCAATCCTATAGGACAGAGTAGAACTGTCCCACAGGGTTTCCAAGGAGCAGCTGGTGGGTTCGAACTCCCAACCTTTTGGTTAGCAGCTGAGCTCTTACCACTGTGCCACCAGGGTTTCCAATGGGTGTATGCATCTGTCAAATTGTACTCTTTAAACATACGCAGTTTACTGTATGTCAATGATATCTCAATAAAGCTGTTTTTAAAACTATGAGATAAAAAAAAAGAGAGGGCAACTCAGTGCAGAGAGAAAAGGGGGGCAGCCTCTACCCACCACGGATTTTGCTTTTGTGGCTCTGGCCACCTTTAACCAGCAAAGCTACATTTGGGTGGCACAGACCAGCTTCTTCTGACGTTTTCAGGCGCCCAGCTTTATCCTCCTAAGCCTGAGGCCCTGCAATGGTCCTGCAATCCCACCGCCCCCAGCACTCCAAGGACTGGGATTTAAGGCTTTGCTGGGAGTCTGGAAGTTAACTCTAAAAACATTAAAAAGCTCTGCCTGCCGAGAATGCAGGTTGCAGACTATCAGGCTCGTAAAACCGCCTTCTCTGAGGCCAACAACATGGAGGCCCAAATCCCCAGCCATCTTTAACAGGGCCTGTTACTTCACAGGGAAACAGAAGTCAGCAGTGGGCTTTGGGAGAAGGAAACGATAAGTCCCTGCCCGTCTGTAAATCGAGGCCCCGCTGAAGGAGAGCCAAGTGCGGGTAGGTCCTGCCCCAACTTCTACCAGGCCTCTTGCGAAGGCCCGAGACTTAATTGGTTCTGTCGCCAATGAGATGATTGCTTCCCTGGGCTTGTGTCTAATGAACTCAAACCTTCTGGAGTCTATTGAAGGCCGCCTGTGACCCCCTCTCCCGCCCCCCACCCCAGCTCCCAGCAGCCCCACTCCCCAGCCCCTCCCAGCCCCCCTCCCAGCCCTCGGCCCATTGTGACAGAGAAGAAACAGCCAGGGTCTTTTCATGCTTTATGGGGCGCTCCTATTCACTTGTTCAAGGAAATTTCAAAGGGGCCTGCTACCCTCTTATCCCCTCTAAGCTTCCCGGATGAACAATGGGCTGAAAGCGATTCAGCTCAGCTTTTCATCCCCCACACACTTTCTTTCTCGCTCCATGTGCTCATCTGTGCAAGGCCCTCAGTTGGCAGTGCTCTGAAGAGAGGGTCTAATCCCAGCCCTGGGAATCCCAGGTGACCTGCCCGACACTGGGCAGATCATACACTCTCAGGGCCAGCCGGCTAGAAAGCACCTCGCACGACCCTGAGCTTTTAGCTCATACCAAGTGTGTTGGGTGAGAGAGTAGGGGGGTGCCGAGGACTCCCTGTGCCCAACCCTGGATGGCAGCTTGAGACCCACGGGGACATCCCAGCCCAAGTGCGCACCCCAGCAGGTGGGCTCTCCTTCTGAGACTCTTTTGTCCTCCACTACAGGCAGCATGTGGCAAACGGACCTGGGCAACCAGCTCTCAAGAGAGGATGATGGCACACTGATGAGAAATGGGCTCCAAGTGGGTATCAACATGCCCAAATGGGTACAACTGGAACGGCCACATCTGCCCACTTGGCTGGGAGAGGGCTGAGAGCCATCCAGCACTGCTGGGGAGACTGGCTGAGCCTGAGATAGTGAGAACACATGAGCACTCAGGTCCCCAAGCCTGGGTCCTTACCCATCATCAACCCAAGACAGCTACTCCGTGGAGGGGCTCACAACAACCAGAGGCTCTGCCACCTTGGGACGCAAGGGTATCTTTCTAGCCACAAAGAGAAAGTTGCTAACTGAGGGATTTGTCCTTTTCTGTCTGTATCAGAGTGGATCTTACTGGCCCACACTCCAACCCTTGCTACCTAAAATAGTTGACTTGCAAAGGTAACCTTTCTGAGCCCTCCAAGTGGCTTCCCAGGGCTTCAAAAGTCCACAAAGCCCTTCAGCCAAGGGGGGAGAGAGCGTAGGGGCTTGTGAGCTTTAAAGAAGATGGGTGAATGGGGGTGAGGGAGTGAACTGCTCCCACCAACCCATTAAAAAAGAAAGCAATCTGAACACTAATCGATAAAAATAAAAGAAATCCTCAATGGGTCAAAGGTCTCTCATTACCAACTAATTCTAAGAACATATCTTATGTTGAAAATGTTCATGCTTGGCGACAGTGACAGGCAACGGGCAGGGGACCATGTCTGGCCTGATCTAGAACGCAGAGGACCTGGGTCTGGCTTCTGTCTGGCATGGATAGCTATGGATCCATTGGGCCTTACTTCCTCATCTGTAAAAAAATCACCAATAACTGCGTGCCTTTCTAACTGGGTCTTGTGAGTCTCAAAAAAGAACATGTATGGGGACTACACCCAAATTTCTCATCATGAACCCAGAATAACACCTCCATGATGGGGACTGAAATACAGCCAAGGGCCAGGAAGCAAGCCAACAATAGTCTCTAAGAAAATTAAATAGAAGCCTTGCAGTCTTAAGTAAACTACATTTAGGAGCTTCACTCAATGTCCTCACTCAAATCCAACTTACTCCTATTTTACACACAATGCTAAGACTTGCACGCAATCCGCAAATAAATAAAAGCTGAAGGAGTGATACTGCTAGAAGCAAGCACAGACAGTAGCAGAAAATGACAGTGGGCAGAATGACACAAAGGAAAAAGAAAAACCATTTTAAAAAGGAGGGACACCAATATGCATAGAGACAAACGGCCCTATGTAACCTATGAGACAATCCTACAGTACAGTATAAAAACAAATCTTGATATTGTTTGGATCACCAAGGAACAAATTATGCCTTGCCTACCGGTATTTAATTCAAACAGAGCCACACATTTGTTATTTCCAGAAATACGTCCAAGTATGGATATTTAAATAGAATTCAATCAATACGGAAAACCCACTTCTGTGGAACCCTTCACACGTTTCTATACTGGATGAAAGATGTGCAATCTTACTCTATTTTCGCTAATGCCCAAATGCTTTATTAAAACTGACCCTTTTCACTTTAAGGCTCTCTCTCCCTTTACTAAGAGGGGAATTTGAGGTAACACAATAAAGGTCACACAGAAAATCGAGAGTAGAGTCCCAAACCTCATGGATTTTCCTTCCAACTGGTTCCACACCACAAGCCAAGCAATAGGACATTGGCCAATAGAAACCTGATAATTTCAAACAAACTGGAAGAACAGATGGTCCGGTTTTAGGAACGGAAAACGAACAAACTCTAAATAAGAATACCAGAACTTGACACAGGTGTGTTCAAGGGAATTTCAAAGGAGCCTGCTACCCTCTTATCCCCTCTAAGCTTCCCGGATGAACAATGCTGAAAGCGATTCAGCTCGGCTTTCCTTGACACAGGTTGGGCTTCTCTTTCAAAATTGTACCCATGAGAGGTGAAACTCCTATTTCAAAGCATTTGTGGAAAAGCCCTCAAAGACCACTTCTAGAACAGTGGTTCTCAGCTGGGTGTTGTGTGAGAAGCCCTTGAGGAGTCTTGCCCATGTCCAACCACAGCTGTCCAGAATCAGAATCTCAAAGGATGGCAAGAGAAAGGTACACCAAGCCACCCACCACAGAAAACCGCTGTTCTCCACCCACAAGGAAATCGACACAGCTTGACTTCAAGTGACCCAAATTCAGAGCATGACCCCACCTGATTGCCTGCTGACCTTATCAGACCCCCCACCAAAAGGACTCAGATTGCCTCCAAAAATCAAATCCATCCATCTGCAAAAGATCCAAGACTAGACACTCCTTTGAGAGAAGATATGTCAATGAGTGCCACTATAAGCAGGAAGCCCTACTTTGGGTCCCCAGTGCCTGACACAGTAGGCGCCCAACACTTACTGAATTAAACAATGTCCATTTGAAGGTATCTATGTGGGACCATCACACACACACAGTCACCCTGTAGAGAGCTCTGGCTTCCTGACCCCTACCTTCAAATATGACTTTTCCTCTAAAATCAATGAACTCAACATAAATCCTTCTAATGCCACCCTGTCTCCCACCTGTTGGTCCTGCACCTATGAAATACCTGAGATGAAGACCAGCCAAGCAATTCTGGCCACAAGGAAAGCACGCAAAAACAACAACCAATACATTTTTTTTTTAACTCAAGGAATCTATAGAGAATCACCTTAACCTTCTACTTTAAGCAGAAGTTTTCTTCTGTTAAGTTAGTTTTCTTCTGTTAAGGCATCATCCAACTTTCATTCCAAGGCTGTAAGCTTAACACCACCCAGACTACCATGCCACCCCCTTTAACCACCACCACACCACCGTAACACTCCCCTCCCACCAAACAAATGTCCACAGATGCACAGCTGGGGTTTGCATAGCCAGGTAAGAATGGCTGACGATTCTGCACAGCTGACCTGGTGGTTCTCACTCCCAACCATGTACATGCTGGGGATCCCAGAATACTTACACGCTACTGTCCGTCATGGACATGGAATCATCAGTTAGTGCGTCACTGGAGATCTCACTGTCATTGGCACTGGTGGCAGGCGCAAAGACATAGCCGGAACCTAGGTGGTACGGATTAACGGAATCGCTCCTCTTGAAGGACCTGCCGGAAAAGCAAGAGAGTGGAGTGGTCATTGAGCCTCACTGGGAACCCAAGTTAACAGATGACCTCATGACAAGTGAGTGCATCAACCCCCATTCTGCTCAATGCCAACCTGATGTCAGCTCCAGGTGTCCATCTGGGCAGAAAGCAGGGGCCCCAAACGTGGAGCTGGTTGAGCCACTAACTCATCCGTACAGAGGATAGGGAGAAAGCAGGCTGGGTTCCTCTGTCCCCAAAGGCAGACCTGCCAGGGGACAGAGCACTCCAGGGCATCCTACCAAGTCCTAAATACACATTTACACAGAGGAATGGACTCTGCTCTGGGAGCGGGCTATGGAGTGAGCAAGGGGAGCAAGTTGGTGGAGATGAAGTGTCTTTCTTCTCCCCACATCCAAGCCTGTACTGATGGCCTGCTGACCTCATCAGATCACTCCCACCCCCACCCCCAATGACTCAGACTGCCTTCAAAAATCAAAACCATCCATCTGCAAGGATCCAAAACCAGACAAAACTCTGGAGAGAAGGTGTGTCCATGAGTGAATTTAGGAATACAATTTCAGGGCCCAAGACCTGTTGAGCATCCAAACTCCTGTCTGGGGCCTGCCACTGGAGTTTAGAGATGAAAACACCCTAGAGGACTGGTGTGTGGCATTGTTACTTCAACACATGTGAGTAAGGCAGACAGGACACCAAAGTTCAAAATGATGTTTAGACTCCCATCCCACCTGTGAGCTGAGCCTCCACCCTGCCCCTCCCCACCCAGGGCTTCCTCCTTCCAGAGCTGGCTAAAGCCTGAGGGATTAAAGTGAGCAGCACAGCTGTTTCAAAGGAAGGCCCAGGCCCCTCCTCTTGGTGTCTCCGGCCCTTTTGTTTCAGGGGCCTCTGGCTCCCCACTTTCGGCCGCCCTCTTGATCTCCTCCCAGAACAACCAGTGTGCCTATCTCCTGCTGGGCCGCATTCTTCTGTGTCACCAGCGAGGGATGGGGTGGAGGGTGGGGGGTGAGGGGATGGCCTCTTCCAGGGGAAGGGGCCACAGTGGGTCAGTGGGCTGCAGAAGAGCCTGTTAAAGCCTGAAGTTGCAAGAGGCCTCAAGTACAAAGACCCTGGCATACTCTATTGGGCCCACCAAGCCTAAGCCAACAGCAAAGAAATCAACTGGAGAAGAAGGGAAGGTTCAGGAGAGAACATATTCTATCAGGCTACTGCAGCTGGTCCATAAAGATAACTTTGGGGCTGGCCAATGAGACTCATCAAAGGTCATCAATCAGTCATCTGCACGTGTTCACCAATCTCCTATTCACTTACTATGTGTCCAGCATTGTGCTGGACTCTGGGAATATGCAGGCACAGTCTCTGGTCTCCTGGTACCTGTGGTTGTGGGGGCAGGTCACAATAATGTATGTGTTCGGGGTACCATGAGGAAGGTAGACACAGTGTACCATGGGCGCACAAGGAGGGCACACCTTTACAAAGTCCTCTCATTTAATCCTCACAGCCACCTGCGGGAGAAGGAACACTGTGCCCATTTCACAGATGAGGCCCTTGATGACCCCCAAAGTACAGCAGCCTGCCTCGGATCACAGAGCTAGAACTGGTGGGCATGGCACTGATTCATCTGGCTCTCACTCAACCTTTCCTTCTGCTTCCTAATACAAAGGCTGCCTTCAACATATTTTGAAAGTTCTTCTAGAAAAAGAGGCAGATTATGAGTGACCTGGTATAGGAAATTCAGAAGATGGAGAGAGAACGTTTCTAGCTAGAATGGCTGGGGATGGCTTCCTGAGAGAGGTGGAAGCAAGGTGCACCTTGATGGGTGGGCAGGAATTCAACAGAGGACAACCAGGACTGAGGAAAGGGAAAGACAGTGAAAAGCCCTCCCCAGATTAGGAAAGTGGGAGTCTAACTAGCTAGGTTAGGAATGCCTGAGGAAGATGAGAAGTAGGCCTTTAGTGCAGGGCCAAGGAGTTCTGCCTTAACTGGGGGGAAGGGGGAATCTCCAGCAGCATGTATGATCCAAAGTATGCCACCAGGTTAGACCATAAAGAGGGGTGGGGCAGACAGGGAGCCCAGTGGGAAGTTGTTGCCACAATTTGGGGGGCAGTGGGGATGAAAAGGAAGGCAGAAGAGACCATCCCTATCTTTAAACAGCTTGCACTCTGGTTTGAGAAAACATGAAATGTTACCATCAAATCATAAAATTTTAGAGCCAGAATGAACACAGGAATTATCTAAATCCAACCCCCTCGCTTTAGAAATGTTAGTAAAAACCAAGAACTACCATTGATTGAGCACTTACTATGTGCTAGGCACGTTCCTAAGTAGACACGTGCCATAACCACAATGTCAGCTCTACAGGGGCAGGGTCTTTGTTATCTTCATTGTTGCACCCCCAGCACTGAGATCAGTGCTACACACAGCAGATGCTCAAGGAATATCGACTGCCCAATCATCCATCATCCTCACAACTGAGGCCCACACAGGGCCAAGAGCCTTGTTGGGGACCAATCCGCTGGTTACCAGCCAGATATACCCCACACCTCAACTCCTAGAAGAGCTCAACTTTAGCAGAGACCTTGATTCGTTCTAATGCACTAGGCTGGAACTTTAGTAAAGCTAGATCTTAGAGTGTTATGTAGGCATGGAACTGGCCAAAGATGCAAACCAAGAGTGTCTCACACGAACCCATGTGTGTGAAACACCTTTGACTGAGCGGCCTTGAACTGTCACTTGGCCTCTCTGGCCCTGTTCTTGGATCTGTAGAGAGTGAGAAAACTCACTACCTCCTAGGAATTTTTGTGAGGATTAAATGAGAATTAAGATCTTCCATGATTTAGAACTGGTCTCCATGTCTTCAACCTGGAATTCTCTGACACCAAGAAGAGACAGGAGTAGTGAGTACAAAGGAAACGCTGTTGATTCTTCTGGAAAAGAGAAGGCTAAGGGACAATTCAGTAGAACAGTTTCCTAACTGATAAGGGGAACTCACAAGGAGGAGGATGGTCTCTGTCTGGCATTACCACTAAAGGCAGAACAAGAGGAAATGGGCTTTAAAAGTCAGAAAGAAAGCACTTCTAAATGATTGAGGTGGACTCAAGGAGTGGGTGGGGACCCGGTAATGGAATCACGTAAGTCTCTAAAACAGCCCAAGTTCCCAGGTATCTGGGGTGCTTAGATGGGCTCCTGCCTCAAAGCAGGATGGGCAAGACAACTTCTTCGGGGCCCCTTCCTAAGTAAAGGAACCCCAGTGATAAGTAAGCTCCATAGACTCTTGATAGAGACCAAAAGTCCAGAGGCCAAGAGCTGGTGTCGGCTCAGCTGCTGGCCAGCTAGATGACCATAGGCAAGTCACAGCCCCTTCCCCCAGGACTTGAGGTATTCATCTGAAAACTCAGTAGTTCAAACACGGCCACCTATATGAAGATCTCCCTTCCTCTGAAGGGCCCTACAAGGGCACTGTCAATTTGACAGATCACCATAATACTCTGAAAAGCCAACCACACCAACACGGAGAGCTCCTTTTCTCTCAGAGACCTTTGTAATGTCTTTTTTAGCATTGATCATGCCTTATATACCGTGTGTATGTTTACATACTGAATATGCCTGTCCTGTGCAACTAGACTGTAAGCTCCATGAGGGCAAGGGTCAGATTTGTCTTCTTCGGAGATGTCCCTCCAGCACTGAAAGCAGTCCGTGACACGTGGCAGGAGCTCAAAACTTTGTCTGAACCTCCTTAAAAGACCTCAGCCCATAAGATGGGTCACTGCAAAGTTTTGTTTAGGTTAAGAAACATAGTACAAGATGAGAAAAGCTAAACCAGCCTTACGTGACATTCAAATGCTCTTTCTATCTTTCAAGTACTGCTATCTTTGTCATATTAACACACCAACAACGTCCCAAAAGAGTTATGCTGCGGCCTCTATAAGGAGAAAATGACTCAATAGAAATTCCTTCCTCCCCAACAAAAAGACACCTAACTCAAATCCCACGTGTGCTTGCACAGCTTTGCACTCGTTTTTTAGCACATGGACCCCAAAATAAACTTGTCTCTCTTGACTTCCAAAATAGAGGACTACTGTGCGGCTGGGTAATTAAAAATGGAATATACTGCTCTTAACTCCGTTGACTGCAATAAAGTACTTGGTTTTTCCTACAAGCATAACAAGAGGAGGCAGAGGAGGGGGGCTGGGTTATGGGGAGAGAGAGGAACTCAGTTTTTACGAACCCATAACTTTGTTGAAATCGCCACATAATTTTAAGAAAACGGATTAGAGCTGTTTTCTTGTGATTACTTAAAAAAAAAAAAAAAAAAAAGGAAAGAAATTTGACCATGGTACAGTAATTGTAGCCAGATGCTTTGATTATTTCTTCAGTACTATTTTGCTCCCAGTGACAGCAAGGATTTTAAATTCCTACAGAGAGCAGAGGCCTATGGTAGAGATTTTACATTAGGCGTGCATCCACAGACCTCCTTCCCAACTTCAATATGCAAAGAGTTTTCAGCTGTCAGGTAGCAGAGGCTCCAGGGACCTAAGGGGAAGAGGAATGTAGGCTGGGTTTTTTTTCCAGAGTATTCTTATCTCTTATCTTGATGAGATGCTGTGGCCCCTGCTCTTCCCACACACCAGGGCAAAGAGGTCATACACAGCAGCACAATAGAACTGACGCTTAGGGCCTCCCCCTGGGTCCCCTCTCAAAACAATGCAACTTAAAAAGTATTGGCTTCTAAGACCCTGTGGTTAGCACTTTCCAAGAGCCCTCTGACAATCCCCTCCCAAGGTCACTGCCCAGAAGGGAACACTCTCTCCAGCCACCATCTTCTAAGGCAAGACCCACATGGCACTCAATGAGGGGCCTGGGTCCCAAACAGCGTTGGGCAACAGGGTCTTTTGAAAACAGGCAAACTTTTACAAGTGTGTTTTAGCAAACTGTTCATCAGAGCTTCCCTCCTCTAATTGCGGGCTCCCGCTTCCAGCATATCTTTCCTATGGCATCATTTTCTTTGATAGTTGAAGCCAAGCTTAATTCCAATGGTTTTGCCCCAAAACAAGGCACACTGGTGAGTTCTTGGAGAAGGCAGGAAGCACTGGGGCCAGCAGAGGGCCATCTGCTGGGCCCGACATTAAGTGAGGCCAGAGCACAGGTTCTGTGCGAGGCAGAGGAGAGTCGCCTGGGGTAGGAACACAAAAGCGCCAGGGCAGACAGGCAAGGGCGCAGGGAGCTCCATGCCCCCAGCACTGTATTCTCCTTCCCAAAATAAATGCTGGGCTGAGCTCCTAACCCCACAACCCCCTCAGCACACACCTCAACACTGAGTGTGTGGGGGTTTTTGACACGTGCTTCTCCCAACAGGTTGCTTCTGCTCTAGGTTATTTATAGAGACCATCAAAAAGCCCAGGCATCCCACTCAACCACTCAAACCAGAGTCCTTCCCTCCGAGGATAATTCCTGCTCTTCCGTCCCAACTATTCATATTAAACCTGACACCAAATCAGTAAGGACACAAACAAGTCATTAAAGATGAGGCTCCTCTGAGTGTCCAAGGTAAACACAGCCCTGGAAGGCCGGCCAGTCCCCTGGGCACCCGGCTGCCAAGCCTACTCTTTAATAGCTTGACGGAGGAAGAGCCTCAGCAGGACCTGTGCTGTCTTTCCCATTCATTTACTAACTTATAACCTGTCCCATGTGCCAGGTACTTTGCACTACAAGTGTGTGTGTGCGTGTGTGTGTGAGAGAGAGAGGGTGTGTGTGTGTGTGTGAGTGAGGGTGTGTGTGTGAGGGTGGGGAGAGTTAACCTAAGCATGAGGTAGGATCCCTACATTCCAAAAACTAGCAACCTAGCTGGAAAGATAGACCTAAGTTTGACAAGTACAGAAAATTGAGGCATAGGGCAGGGTAGGGGGAGAGATACTCTAAAACCTTATAATGAAATATGGACTAAAACCAAAGAGTCACTCTTTGACCGTGATCTCCTAATCTGGTTGCCCTTTTCACACATCCAATTACTATCACTATTAATTATACTAATTATGACCCTCAATCTCTGTTCAAAGCATTTTCATTTACAAAGGGCTTTCGTGTTTACTATCTTCCTCCTAATAACAACCCTAGAACAGAGAGAGGGGATGGTGTCAACCCATTTTACAGATGGGCACATGGGGTTCAGAAAGGCTTTCACTTGTGTAGTAAGTGGTGGGCCACATGGAATCCAGGCCTTTGAACATCAGGACATACCCTACACTGTACATATACTTTAATATCTGCATATTAAAATTGATACATACACTTTAATATCTGCACATTAAAACTAATCCGCACACTTTAACATCTGCATATTAAACTTAATGTATACACTTTAATATCTGCATATTAAAACGAAATTAGATAATTTGACTATGTCTTAAAAACTCTCTGACAATATCCAGAGTTAAAGTACATGGGCTTCACGTAGTCCAGGCAAAACTCTTCATTTCAAGCCAACAGCGGAAGAAAACCAACAAAAATTCAATATGGAAACTTAAGAGGCCAATGAAAAGTTGAGACCTATAGATCAAGGGTGCCCGCAGTTTACAACCAAGAAGGTAGCACTAGAAACACTCAGGACCTTCTGCCCCTGCCTCTGGGAACCCAAAAGTTTTCCAAGAGTAATATCCAACAAATTTAATCCCGGTACTGTCCAGCTGAGGCCTCTGGAAGGGGGAGGGTCACCCACAAAAGAGGAGAGATCACAGCAGGGCCCTGTCTGGAGAGCTCTCTCTTATGGATGTCATCCAAAACCACACACTGTGCTATTTACATAGGTGACACTAGGTCCTGACACTGGAGACAGAAGCCCCACTATCAGAAGGGTCCTGGGGAAGCAGCCTTACCACAGGCCTTAAGGAGTCTCTGCTCCAGCTGCCAAGCTGGAAGGCAAGGAAGCTAGCACAGAGTTTACCCAAATGTTCACACAGTAGAGCAGGGCCATAGCTAGCAGGTGCCTAGTGACTGCCTAGTCCCAGAGCCCTTGCATCTTGACAGCAGACCCAGCATCTTCCTCCAAAACAATTTGAAACCATAAGCTTAAAGATGCTAAAACATCTTCCTCACATGATTCCATGTTTCCTAGCAAAAGTCAACCCATTTCCACTTAGGTGTAGACCAGACAGCTGAGTGTGGGTAGACAGACTCCCAAGGCTGTAAGAGTGCCCCCTGGCGGTTGGAGATCAAGCCCTCTCCCCTCCCCAAGAGCAGTCAACCCTCTTGGCCACCCCTAAATCATGGCCTGCTAGGGTTTAGGCTGGCAACCCCAAAGTGCTCATGATCAACCACTTGGTGCCTGCTGACTCTGCAAGTCACACCAGAAGCAGCTACCAGACGGACTCCTGGGTCCCCAGCACATGGAGGAGTCCAGGATGGATTGCTAGATAAGCCATTCTCCTGTGTATCATAAGCAACAACCTAGAATTAAGAGGCTCATCCTCTTTTTGGATATTTGGAGGGGAAGAGAGAAGTAAAAACTCATTCTAACATGAGGTTTGAAGTTGCCTCCAAAGGTCAGGAATCTTAAGACTTGGCCATTCTGTAAAGGACTGTTTTGTCTTTGAAGACTCAGAAAGACAAAGTATTCCAGAGCCCCAGTCTTCCCAGGCTAAGATCTCTTCTCTCCATTAGCACTAAGCAACAAAATAATCAACTGAGCTCTGACCCTCAGACTCACAGGCATTTAATGCTGGATTAATACACCACCAAAATATAAAGCTAAGGGTCCTTCATTCAAGAAAGTCACAGGTCTTCCCTGGGAGAAGTTTTTTCTTGCCGGGTAAACACCTAATTCCACAAAGAGAACCACCAGCTCAGCTGTTAAGCCAATCGCTGGCTCTTACCTTAACATAAAAGTTCAAAAGATCCCACTTACCCCTACGTTCAATGGGTGCACACATCTGTGCCTCCACAAGCCACATTAATTCCACTTTCTACTGATGCGTGGTGACATGACCCCTTCCAAAAACAGTACTTAGTGGAGCTGGTGACTCAAGAGCCATCAAAAGCTGTTGTCCTCTCTCTCTCTCAACCCCTTCTAAGACTCTAGTCCAGGATAATAAGTAACCCACATTAATGAATACTGCTTGCCACTGTCTGAAGTTAGCACAGGAAGACTGCAGGTATTTAGCTGTGTGTTCATCACTTTTCCCCGTTTAAACAACCAAAAACAAGATCAAAGGGTTCAAGGCCGGCAGTCCCAGCTCTCAAGAGACCTTCATCAGCCTCAGCAGCCCATTCATCCATCCATCCACTCTACTTAACTCAAAACATCTGCAAAATCCGTATCATCCTCCAACACGCCTCCGCCCCCAGCATCTGCCAAAGTCTTACCTGTATCCATTTTCAACTGTTTCCGTGGATCTCACATTCGCTGTGACCCTCAGAGTTTTGCTGGACAAGCCAACCACAGTGGGCGAGAGTTTGCATTTGAAGTCGGCACAAGTCCACTCCTCTTCTTCATTCAAGGTGGGGAGATAGCCACACACTACCTTCAGACTCCCCAGTCCCCCACTGCTCATGTATGCTGTGTTTTCTCCCCCACTCCTCACATACTCGAGGTAAATATCAGAAGTCAAAAACATCTGGTAGGCATTTTCCTCCATCACCAACTGGATCTCAGTCTGCGCCTGGTCAAACATGATGGAATCAATCTGCTGCTGCTTGATGCCATCGCGTATGTAGGTCTTGGTGGCAGGTTTCAGCTGCTTGGAGACAATGCTGTTGTTCTCAATGTACCTTTTGTAGATCGCTTTGGCTACTCGTAGAGTTTTGGTATCCTTCAAGTTCATCTGCCTGAATCCATTGCAGGCAAACCAGAAGTCTAAGGTATCCACGCATTTCTCCCTTTCCAAGAAAGTCCGGAAGAGATAAGCCCCGTCTTGATCACCCAACAAGGAGTGCAAGGACTTGGTCCACCTGGTCAGAGGAGAATCCGGGGAAGCCCGCCCCTCCGGCTCTCCCAGCCCATCCTCGTTCCGCCTGGCATTGGAGGATACAGGCATGGGTTTGGTGACCTGGCCCTTGCCCAGGCCAGCCTGGCACGGCGGGGTCTCCCCTTCCTCCCCAGGGACCGGGGGACGCGGGGCATCCTCGCGGAAGCTACTGCTGGGGTCCGGAAGGCGAGTCACCAACACAGCGCTACTCATGGCGAGGGAGTTCTCACTGAGTTTGGGGCTTTTTTTTTTCCCTCCAGTTCCTCTCAGCAATCAGCGTGGTCTCTCTTTCTCTCTCTCTCTTAAGTCAGCAGGGGCTCATCTGAGCCTCCTCTCTGGAAAGAAAAGGAAGGGGGGAGGTGGGAAGAGAGAAAAGGGTATTGATCTAATCAAAACCAGATCTACCCAACATCAAAGCAAGAAAGTAAACAGGCTTTTCAACTCCTCAAACTCAAATCAAGCAACCCAGCTATCTTCGAGGTGCGCATCTAAAGTATCAGACGCTGCTTTTTCAAAGGCGAAATCTGAGCTCCCTGTATTTTTTTTGGAGGGGGGGCAAGCGGAGAGGGGCAGGGAAGCGAAGATGGGGAAGAACGAAGATGGAAGCAAGGGAGATACAAGGGGGGTAGGGGGTGTGCAAGACATAACCTTCCAAAAACCCGCTCGACCCAGCCATCCACGCACGCAGGGCAGCGCGGCCCGCACCTCCCCTCCCCCTCCCCCTCCCCGGATAGCATCAACTCCAAAAGACCAACTCCGAGGCGCGGGGCTGGGTACAGGTGAAACCAATTTCGGTAAATTTCCCAGCTCAGCTCTCCGCACAGATAACTCGAGCTCCAAACGTGCCCTTCCTCGGCATCTGGTTCCCATTCCCCCATCCACCCCCTTCCCTCTGCGCTCCCCCTTCCACTCCTTAAAAATTCAGAGGATCCGCGCCCTAAAGCAGCCCACCCCGCACAGGGCAGAATCGGCTCCCGGATGCCCAGAATCCAGCAGGCAAACGCCCCCACCCCAACCCAGATCTAGAGGGCAAACGCCCCCACCCCAATCCAGATCCAGCAGGCAAACGCGCCACTCCAACTCAGATTCAGCAGGCAAACGCCCCCCACCCCAAGCCAGATGTAAATGTCCGCTGCACCCTCCCCCAGCCAAGAATCCGACTGTCTCCACCTCGGTCTCCCCCGCTCCCCCAAACCAGAACCCAACTCACTCAGCCGAGCCTTTAATCTTCAAACTTTGCCAAAAAACAGAGAAGCCTCGGGACCCGCTGCCCCCGTTCCCCCCTCCCGCCCACCTCCCGGAGCGAACCCTACAAAACCGGATCAGAAACCGTCTCACGCTACCACTGCCTGTGCCAAGAATCCCAAACTCTACTGATCTCAAGCCCTTTTTCCCAAAAGGAAAAAAAAAAAGTCTTATCTAACCAATAAACAAGCCGCTTTCCATAGCACGGAAAGGATCAAACTAAGGAGGGCAGGGGCGGGCCGGGGATGAGGCGCGACCCGAGGCAAGGCGCCGGGGCTCCCCGATTCGGGGTGGGTGCGCGCGGCCCCCGCCTGGGGCCTCCGCGGCCGGGCCGGGTACAGCAGCGGGCGGAATGGCTGGGCCGCCGGCAGCCGCCCACGGTACCCGGGCGAGGGGAGGTGAGACGGCCCCGTTACCTGGCAGACGAAGGCGGACCGAGGCTGAGCTCTCATCTCTGCCAAACCCCTCCGCACCGGACCCCTGGCCCAAAGCAAACCGAACGCGTCCGAAGACCCGCCGAGCGTGCGGTCGAACGCGGGCCCGGAGCTCCAGGGGGTGCGAATAGTGCCCCGAGCCCGAACCGGGTCGGTCCCCCGCTCCGCCGCTCGCACAGGCGCCCGCAGAAAAAGCACGGAAAGCAGCAGCTAAGTCCAGAAATGGCGACGCGCGGAGTCTCTGCCTCTCCGCAAAGGGGGCCAGGGGCGCGGGGCCCGGGCGGGGAGGAGGGACGCGGGCGCTCGGGCTCGGGCCCGTCCAGCGCGCAGACTGAGCCGCGGCCGGCGCTCGGGGCCCCTTAGCGCAGGGAGGGGTGAAAGGGAGGGGGGAGGGAGGGGAGCTGGGTTGGGGAGAGGGCTGGGGGAGGGCGCGCAGGGAGGGCGGGGAGCCACCACCCTTTCATCCCACCTTCCAAAAGCACTCCCGCGCACACTCACACTCCGACTCCCATCTATAACAGCGACAGCGGCGCGACCCCCGGGGGGACCTGCCCCTCTCCGCCCCCGCCGTCACTTGGCCAAGTCTCCCGGCCAAGCCCCCAGCCAACCCCGCCAGCACTGGAAAGGGGGCTCCGACTCAGGGCGGCCAGGCAGAGCCCCCGGAGCGCTGGGCGCCGGGCCCGCTGCTCCACTGCACGCCGGCCGGGAACGCGCCCCGAAATAGCTCTCCAGAACTTCAAAGGACCGCCCGGCACATCAAAGCACGCGGGCCGCCCCGCAGACGCTGCCTGGCACTCACCACTGTTCCGCGCGCGCGCTCCGCGGCGAAACCTCTCTGGCGCCCTGGGCAGGGCCCCGGTCCCCGGCTCGGCTCGCGGCGGCAGCCCCGGGCCCCCCCGGGCCGGCTGCGGCGGCGGGGAGCATGGGGAGTCGCGCGGCGGGGAGGCGGCAGTGGAACAACAAGCTCGGGATTAGAGCGCAATCCACCGGCTAGGGAGGGTCGCGCAGCGCGCCCCGCCGCCCCTTTTATGCAAAAGACCCGCCCGGGCCTCCGCCCCCGCCACCCCGCCGCGGCCGCCCCCGGCCCCTCGGCCCCCGCCCGGCCGGCTTTCAACACAGGTCCTGTTTCCCGCAGTCACTCCGCGCACCAAATGTCCTCCGGGCGCTTCCAACAAAAACTGCGCTGTGGATTTAACTGTGCACTTCAAAGGCGCGAGCCGAGCGCACGGTCCTGAAAGGGAGGTACGCGCCCGCTGCGCCCCGGACCGCCCCCGCACCCCTGGCGCCCCCTCCTCGGGGCTACCCGGCCAGGGGCCCCCTCCCCGGTTCGGCCTCTGCCCCTCCGGGCCCCTCCCTCCCCTCCGCCCGCGACGGGGCTTGGCGCGAGCTCGCCCCCTGGCCAAGCGGGGGCTTTCTTGGAAGCAGCTCTTCGGGGCCTGGGCCTCCACCCCCACCTTTTACACCAGAGTTTTCTGCGGGGAAGACGGGCAGCTCCAACGCCGGACCGCCCCAAAATCCTAGGCTATTAGGGGGTATTTTTATTTCCAGGCGCTCGGGTTGTTACTGAGTTGCCAGGACCTTATCAAAGCGCAGCCGGCTCCAGCCGACTCCCCCGGGCCGGGCTACAGGAGCCAGTGATCCCGCCGCGCCTATCACAGCCGCGCTCGGCCGGCCCGCGCCGCCCGCCTTAAAGGGACAGCGCCCGCGCCCGACCCGCCCACGCCGCACGGTCGGCTCCCGCGTTAACTCTTCCCCGGGCTCCTCCGCCCCCTGCCAGCCCCCCGCGGCCCCAGTGGCTTTCGCAGCCCGAGTTTCTGATTTCGTCTTCCAAGTTCTCTGGTCTCTTTGCTGTCTCCTCCTCCCCCTGCCTTCTCTCGCCCTCCCCAACTCTGGAATGCAACAGTTTATTGTAGCATTCTGGCCATCGCCAGAACTGCAAGCAAGCAGATTTTTTTTTTTTTTTTCCCTATCATCAAACACTTTTCCACCTCCTATTAAAGTTTCTCTGGGAATTTGGCCTTGGAGTTCCTTGTAAAGGGATTTCTAGCCCTGGGATCGACTGGCCAAGTGTCATAGAGCGTCCGCGGGCCCGGCCGCGCAGGCGGGTGCGTGCTTGCGCCTGCGATCTGAGTTTGGGTAAACATAGCGCTAAATGCGTTCGTGGATGTGTGAAGATGAGGGTGTGAGTCTGCTAGCACAGGCTTGAGTGCTGGAGACGCTCCCTGACACCTCATTAGAAGGCATTCCTCAGTTCCCCGAAGATTTAATCCCAACTCCCAGTCTGGCCTGGCCCAGCGGATCCTTCATTGCACGCGCGTTCACCATCTCTCTGTAGCAGCTGCACACCCATCATTGTCTTCCAAGCATCCTCCATCCTCCCATATGTTACATATTAAACAGACATGGACTGTCTTTTTTCCTCTAGACGCCGCGGTTTTAATGTGCTGAAAGCACCTCACCCCACTGCCACTTCCCCACCTTCCCCCAATAATGTTTATGGGACACAACCTTCTCTTCTCGTTTAAAACAGTAAGGAAATATGCCACAAAACCCAGAACATTATTTATTTATTCATCTTTTGCTACAGAATGATTTCTCATGTGATGACCTAAATAGTTAACTTTACTTCTTCTTAAAACGGGTTAAGAGTGTAAACCAGAGAGGGCCAAGAACTGCTGGGCAGAGCCCCCAGCCTCATCCGAGCTAAGCCTGGATTTGGCTCTCCAAGTCTACTCACTTTTTCTTCATTTACTTTCTTCTTTAACTTAATGTCTGACCAAAACCAACCAACCCTGTTGCTGTAGAATAGATTCCGAGTCATGGCCACCCAATGTGTTACAGAGTAGAACTGCCCCATAGGATTTTCATAGCTGTAATCTTTATGGAAACAGCAGCACAAGGCCTTTCTTGCTGGGTGAGTTGGAACCACCGACCTTTCTTTTAGTAGCTGATTGCAAACCACTTGTTCCACCCAGAGACCTTTAGGTCTGACAAGCCCTTTTAAATGTAGAGGTGCCTCTAACCCCTCATCAGGCCTTCAGAACTTTTAAAAAATGTAAGAAACTCCTCTATCTGGCTGTTTAGGTTTCCACAGGAAAAGACAAGTAAGATACACCACCCATGGTATTCTGGAAAAGCGAAAACCTCAGGGACAGCGTTCCACTGCCCTCAGCCTAGAATGGATAGGATGAGGGACTACAGAGCTCTTGCACCCATATTGCCACAGTCTTCAGCTCCCCGGTGCCATGGAGAGCAGCATCTCCCTCGAGTAGATCTGCCTCTTTGTGTCTGCATCTGCCCCTGTGGGCAACACCTCCCTGGGTGGCAGGGCTGGCATAAAGCCAGCAGTCCAGGCTATGAAATACAGCCACCTCAGGGCAAACCGGGAAGGCTGGAGAAAGAGTGTGGCCCAGTGAGTCATCTTTGGGTCACCAGTTGGGTGTGAGGACACTGGAAGTCAGTCTGTCTCAGGTCAGCTCCGTCTCACTGCCCAGCCTCCTGGAATTCCGGAGGGTGAATGGCTGGCGGCCCCTCTCATGTGGCCTGTACGTGTGAGCTCTGAGCTGGTGTATGGGACTCAGGGCCAAGGGCACACCCATCCCACTCTAGGAGAGCAAAGAACAAAGCTGTCCCTTGGGTTAGAACCTGTGGTTCCAGCGAGTCTTTAGGCCACAGAGGGTGTTATTAAGGAACAAAAGTATATAGAGAGGAATGGAATGAATTGCCATAGAAGCATCTACAATATAAACAACAGCACGTGCGCACGCGCACGCGCGCACACACACACACACACACACACACACAATGTGGGGGAGGGGAGGTGGAAATATCAAAACATCGAAAGCAAAATAAACAGTGTGCAGAAAGAAGAGGGTTCAAAACAGGAAGTGGAAACTTGGTCTTCATGGGTGGTTTTCCTCCCCTCCCAGCTGTCCCCACTGACCCTTCGCGGCCCGCCACCCAGCCCTCATCATCATAGGATCGCTTTAACCAAAGGACGCGTCTTCAGTGCCCGCATTATCCCAGTGCTGCAGTGGCAGGAAGGAGGGGCTGGAGATGGGAAGCAGGAGCAAGGCCCGGCTCACTTTGGAGCTTCTCAGGAATAGCCCCTCCGAGAGGGAGACTGGCTTCCATAACAGGTGCTTGGTCACCTCGGGCCAATGACTGCCCCCCCCCCATCTCGCCCCTGCCCTGCTCCCCTCCCCTCCCTACTTCATATCTGTGGTGGCTTTTCCACCCAGCAGGAGACAGGGCAAAGTGCTGAGAAGCCAGAAGCTCTCTCCAGCCTCTGCGTCTTCGACGACTTGTTGATAATATTTCTAGAGGAAAAGCCAGAGTCCTTTGCTTATACTCAGCCCCTTTCTCAAGATAGCACCGTTTTCCATTTTCCCCTTCTCCCTGGCAGCAGCGCTGTCATGTGACTTGTTGTAATCCTGCGCGGTTGCCTGGGAACCAGAAAGCAAGGTGCTGGATCTCTGCACATGCTCACTCCCCGCCCCCCTTTAAAGAAAAACCCTACAGAGAATAAACAGGCCACTTCGCCTAAGTGCAGACAAGTTTAATAAAGCTGGGGATGGGGGGGCGTAGGGTGGTGATTCTCTTCTGGAATTATGTACTGGACTGAAATCCTAGAATCCCAGAAAACCAGGACTCAGAGCTCCCTGAGAGGCATCCGGCCAGATTGCTGACCTTTAGTCAGCCCCACAAAAGCCACTCTGGAAGGAAAGTCACACTGCTGGGGCTCCAGAGGAGCTCAGACCCAAGACATGGCTCTCTAAAATTCAGAAACGTTGTCTTTAATTTCTTTGGAAAAGTGCCGCCTTAGACAATGTAGCTTTGTTTAGGGAGGGAGGTGGAGAGAGACACAGGTAACCTTCCCCAAGCCTGTAGGTTACCTAACCGCTGGGAGTCTCCATTTGTTCACCTAGAGAGTGGAAAAAAACGCCCCCTCAAAAGGCTGTGGTAAGGATGAGCCGTAAGAAAAATGCCCAGCATGGTGCTTAACACATAGTAGGCACTCAAAACACAGTAGTTATTTCTGTGTAATTGTCCCATCTCCTCAATAACCTGTTACCTGTTCTGGAAGAAACTGCCCATCTCCAAAGCAAAGACACCCTCCAATTAGGAGCCACACTTCTGGGGGTGGGGACCTGGAACCCAACCAAGGGGGTCCTAGAAAGCGCAGCTGTCATCCTTGCACAGAGGGGCTGGGGCTGGGGGGACAAAGGGGACTGAGCCTTTCTGCTCTCTTTCAAAGACAGTCCCACCCACCTAGTACCCAAAAAGAAATATCAGAATATTCCAGCCTGAGGGGTCCTTAAAATGCTAATTCAACACCATTATTTGCGAGATGAGGAACACTAAGCAAAGAGAAGATGAAGGGATTTTCCCAAGATCACTTTGCCCTTGTCAGAGCTGAGCTAGAACCTCCTGGAGGTCCTGATTCTTGGTCCATCCTCGACTTTTTCCTCCACACCAAGATAAGGAGACCAAGGGCAGGGCTGCTAAGAGGTGGGCCCGAGCATCTTGATTCCTTGACTTCCACGGAAGGACTAATAAATATGATTTGGGATGTTTTCCTCAAAGAATCACAACAGAGCTTCAGCCTCAAATTACGCAGAAGCACGCTTCATTCAACCCCTAAAGGTTTGACCCCTAGAACTGGGCTACCCACAGCCTGATCCTGGAAGGCTCCGCAATTCTTGAATGATGGCAGCCGTTTCCCGCATGTTGGCGGAGTTGGTCCAGCCTCAGGGAGCGCTGACTAACAGAGCCTGAGAGGAGTAAAAGACAGGGCCAAGTTCCTCTCATTCTCTCTCCCTACCTCAGCTCCCCTTTGCAGAAAAAGGATTGGAAATGTCAAGGTAGAAATTTTGACTCCAAAAGGGCAAAGTGAGATTTCGCTAAGAAATCCTACCAGTAGAGATGCTGGGAAAACTTTTTTGTTAATAACGGTATCGTCTTTGATATATGAACTTTAAAACAGAGCTAATTAAACAATAATTTAAATCTTCCTAATTTGATTTACTTTCCAATGTTTTTAATATTTATATAAATGGAGCTGCAAACTGCTGATCTTTTTGAATCTCGCCTTTCTTTGTCTTGTCTAGCTAAGAGTTCGCCTGAGCTCATAACCAGAAGAAACCATCAATATCAAAGCAAATCCAGAAAGAGATTCCGTTTTCTGAAGTTAACATCTTCATAGTTTCAAGCACACTCACCTAATAGGTCATTTTCAGAAAAGGAACTGACAAATAAGTAGAAAAAAAAATCCCTATAGTCATCACTCCAACTGATGACATGTGAAGCGTTGCTAATATTGAGGTGTGTGTTCCTAAGCCATTTCCACAGTCATGTTCTGCTCCTAATGTTCCATTTTGCTCATTTTAAGCAACGTTTGGAAAGTGAAGTTTTGCTGAACTTGAAATAAGTTTCTTTATTCTTTCGGGTCAATTTGTGTTTTGATTTGCCTTGAACATTTCCACATGCTAACTGTTTGCTGTCCCAGGCTCTAAAGGGTTTGCCACCATGGGGTGAGATGCTCCCAGAACATCTGGGGAGGTTCCAGATTTTGCTCCATGTTGAAGAACCTTCCCTACATCAAGTCCTCAGTGTGCCACTTTATAATATAACCTGCCAATGCCAGAGCAATGCCCCCATC